CATTGGTGCCTGTATTAGGCGCAATTTCACGCCTTGCAATTATGTGATTGGAAACCCTTTTTTTACAAACCAGTATCCTTAGGAATTAGTTTCTCGTGCAGAAAAAGACCTTTTTTTCATTTGCCTTGATCCAGATTCTTTGGGTTTACTTAGGTACTACCCAAGCCTACTGCTCTGGTTCAACCAGGGTGATCACATATCAGAGAATTCTTCAGCTACTGTACTAAAATATTCTCTTGGTACCTAACGCATTAACTTAACAAGATCTAACTGATGATTCTCCCCTCTAGCTGCTACACATCTCCTTGGAAATTAGTTATGAGAATTTGGTGCTAGAACAAGATAACAACTACCTGGTAAGTTTTAGTAATGTCATTACCTGTTTATTGAAAAATGTATGGATATCAAAGGGAGAAGTTACGTGTTAATCACTTCTGGGAGTTTAAGGGTCAAGACCCTATTCTATCTACCAAATTTCTTCATAAAAACCCTGTTTATCTTTAAGAATATGGCAAAACTCTCCTAAAGCTATGATCTGACCTAATATCCAAACTAGCCGACATCTTCATAAAAGATTCCCTCCATTCTTGGTAAACTGCCTCATGGAGTTTACAGGTTTCAATTACTTTTTACATGCAAGCAATCTCAGGATGCATGCTCTCCAAAGAAAACCTTGAAATCTAAGATTTCTGAGAAGTAATTTCCAGCATTATGGGTATCTGCTTGTAGGCTAAAGAGATGACAATAAGAGGTCTTGTAGGCATTGGTAGACTACTGGTACCCCTTCTTATTGAAACCACTGAGATCTGAATCAAAGTCCTATGCTAAGTTGCAAAGTGTTGTCAAGAGTATTAGAAAATGAAAATGACCCAAACATGTGCCATATCATTATCACCATCATTAAAAATGTGCTGCTGAAGATAGGCTTGCTGAGGGTCGAGTTGAACTATAGCATTACTATTAGTAATTACTAACAAAGTTCATACTTACAGAGGAGGAAGTCTGTTGTTCTCAATAAGTACTTCAGGCTGGAAGAATAGTATTATGTGCAAGGGTTACAAACTGCTTTAGAATGTACAGGGAGATGTCTACTACCTTCAGTAATTCTCAAGTCAGATAATGCACCTCAACAAAATTATTCTGTCCCGAAAGATGGTTAAGTTAATGCAATTCATCATGCTTGAGAACTGTCAGAGAATTTAAACATCGAGAGAACGAGTCTCATTAAGAAGTTTCTTTTAAAGACATCTGAAAAAGAACCAGATGTTTGCAGAGATGCATTTGTTAAACCTCTATCTTAAATCTGTATGCAGCTTAGGAACGTAAAGCGTATGGATTGCACCTTCATCACCATCCATAAGAATTTAAATGGTCGGAGAATACCGTGAAACTAGTTCTCGCTCAACTTGGCACGCCCGCATAGCACGACGGTTTCTACCTGGATCCCGTTCGCCATTTTAACCGGAAAATTGTAAAATGTTTGCCGCTGTAATTACCCCACACTTACCTCAGTTCGTTTACTACAAGGAAGAAACCATAATACCTGTGTAAGATAGTAAAATACGACGTGAACGATAAGAAAAGAAAGCTTTGTCGATTAAAAGATTGCAAAAATAAAAATTTCTAGTCAGATAACTGCATCTCAACATCAAAATTCTGTCCCGAAAGATGGTATAGATGGATGCATTTCATCATGTTTAAACATCAACTTCTCTTCTTAAGTGTAAAAGAAAGGGATACGACTTACAATTCAAACTGCCACTGGTATATCGGAGAAGAATATCGAAAGATCACACTTTCTACTCAACACAAAGTCGCTTTACCCTCAACGAATTGTCCATGTGGAAAATTTCATAAGGGCCTGGGTGACAAAGCGATAACGAGGCTAACATGCAAAAGAGGCTGAGAACAATGCGCGGGAAAATCAATGAAATAAAAAACTGAAAAGGCGAAAGTAAAACAAAGAACGTTTGGACATGGCTACGGTAACGTCTTTACCGGACGCGGTAATTATTCATATTCTCTCTTATCTCGACTATCCTCGATTGGTACGATGCTCAAGGGTTTGTTCACGATGGCACAGGCTCTGTTACGACCCCAGCTTGTGGAAAACTTTACGTATTCGGCCGAAACATGCTACGAACGTGGCAGCTGATACAGTCGCAAGGGTTGTCGCTCGAAGGACCAATCTAATTTCGAGCATCAATCTAACGAACTGTACAGGTGTAAAAGATGAGTCTTTGAAGCATATTTCCTTAAACTGTCCAAACCTGAAAAAACTGTATCTAAATGGATGTAATTTAATTACAGATTACGGCATTTTCGCTTTGGCGCGCAATTGTGATGCTTTGGAAACGGTTTCGATACCTTTGAAGAATGTTTCTGAGAGGGCTCTCTCTAATTTGGTTAAAAATAACTCAGGTTTACGGAAGCTGTACGCTTACTCCATTGCGGTCACAGAAAACACAATCAAGGTAATTTCATCAGGATGTCCTGAACTTGAAAAAATGATCGTTTACGAGGCTTCCTTGGAGGACGATCAGAAAAGTTATGCTGATGTTTTGACCGATCAAATGATGCGGCTTTTGGCAAATGGATGCCGAAAATTAAGAAAGTTGACCCTTAGGTATAACCAAGTATTGGTCAGCGACAGGAGTTTGGCGGCGTTAGCGAAAAAATGCCGAAAACTGGAGTCTTTCGTGATCGATTATTGCGACAAAGACGGAGGAATAACTGACTTTGGAGTTTGTACAATAGCTCACTTATGCCGAAATTTAAAATGCTTGAACATTTCCAATGGCGTCATCACCGATGTGTCCTTGATCGTAATTGCTGATCAACTGCCTTTTCTCGAGGATTTGTCACTGGAATTTAGCGAAATTACCGACGTAGGAGTGTATGCGCTGATGAACAGATGCGAAAAACTAGCAAGGCTTATTGTCCATAATTCGGATAGTATTGAAACAGGTATTACCGACAACACTGCTTGCGTGATCGCAAATTATGCCAGCGATGAGTTTCGATCATTGGGCCTTGGGTTCGCGGATATAACGGACGAAGGACTAAAAACGATTTGTTTCAACGTGGAACTTTCGTTTCTGTCCATAAACGGTTGTAGTAAACTCACTTATGAAGGTCTTAAATCGTGCTTTTGTTATCTAGATTGCTTGTGGAATTTGGATATTTCTTTCACGGACATAGTGGGCAAAGACGAACAGCTGTTGGAAATAGGAAATTCTCTACCATGTTTGGAAACACTTGACATTACGGATTGTTTCAGCGTTTCACAAGAAAGCGTTAAGGCTTTTAAAGAAAAATTTCCTCACTGTAAGGTAAATATGTAGGAATCAAAAACGACCGGAAGGAAAAAAGTTGAAACTTCTTGTTTCTACCTGTTTTATTACTCATCGCAAAAATATTTCTTTGTTAAGGTCGAAATTACGTTTTCCGTGCTTTGGGTATAGCGTTTGATCGCTTGCAAATAGTTAAGATAATATATTTATCTATAACAAAATATTTAAGCTTGCTTTTGACAAATTCATTTAGTTTGCCTGTATAAAATGTTTCCTTTGTCACAGAAATTTCATATTGAATAGCAATCAAAATTCAAAGGTTTGATCATTGCCCATGATTTGAGCCATGTTTTTTTAATGAAACGACAGTATGTCAGTATTGATACAAACAGAGAAATGAAAAAACTACCTGGACCGAGTAAAGTAAAATTTTTTACTTGAACACTTGAAAAATGCTTTGGTTTCGCACCATGTTAAGTCACGTAAAACGAACATTGTGTGTTTCTGTTTCCATATTAGGAGTTTATTTAATTAAACAAGATGCCTTTAATCTCAAAGTCAACATACTCTCACCAAAAGACCTTTATAAATTTGAAAAGAAGAGGATTAAAAAAACCTTGTCTTTTACTCTGAGTTTGTAAAAGTTAGAGGTAATTCTCAGAAATATGTTTTTCGGCTGAGTCTTGCATACATTTTGGTCACCTGCTTCCCTTCTTTACAAGCTCTATCACATATGTAAATATATGTGTGTTATTATGCAGATTTTTTGGCAGGTACATACACATTTCTTTTCTTCTCAAATATTCAAACTTTAATGTATGTTTGGATAGCTGCAGCAATGATGTGCATGTATTAAGGCAACATATATATTTTTTTTGTGCTGTCAACAATAGATATATTCTTTAGGTAAACTGAACCAGCAGTTTACAAAAAGTACTCTTACAAAATAAGGTGGAATTCAACAGTGTAGTCAAACATTGTTGTATTTGAAACACTGAAGGCAAACTGTTTGAAGACAAGGATCTTGTGAACTGCAAATTGAAGCAGCACAAAAGAATGTTTTGATTCCAGATTCCATGTGGAGCATTGTCGTAAACATCATCTTAGAGTAAATATGGTTTAATATTTTCCCATTTTATGAACTGTATTTGCTTACAAAACTTATGTTAATTTTACTGCCTTGACCCCTGCTTTATGTAGGAATTTTTTATCAAATTTGTTTGCAAATTGATTAAATTGAACAAAGAAAAGACATCTCTGTGTACCAATCTTTTAAGAAGGTTGTGAGAAACATCACATCGTCCACAGCTGTTTAAAAAAGATTCAGCAGCTCAAATATACTTCACATGATAATTTTTCCCATTGTACCCTGCAACAAAGGCTGATCTTTCAGGTGACCTAACTTTGTATGTACAACTCTTTAAAATTGTGTTTGAAATGGTCTGGAAGTCTTTGTATTGGTTACTCTGACGATGTTGATATAAACCTTTGCTTTTGCATTCTTACCAACAGAGTGATTTATTGGTAAAATGTCCTTGTTTAGAAATGGGAAGTGAGCCCTGAGAGGATAAAAAGTCAATATTTGTAGTAATAAGGGTGCCACCTGCTGGTGTTTTTCATCAACTACCAGTTTCTTTCCCTTAAACACAACAGGGAACTTCTGTTTCTAAGCATTTTGCATTTTTCTGTAGAGAAGGCAGGTGGCATCAGTATGTGAAAAGGGTACCCGAAGGCAGCTGTATGGGATAAATTCTTTTTAAATTATGAATTAAGTAATAAATAAAAATGATGAAGCTTAGTAAACAACAAGAAAAGGAGCCAAGAATGTGTGAAATGTCAGCAATTTTCAAGAGACTTTTCCTAAAAGAATTCCCTTACCCATCATCTCAATGACATTTATGTACTTATCAATAATACAAGAAGACTATCACTGGTTTTTTAGTTGCTGTTGGTTTATAAGCAATATTGCCCTCAAAAGATTCTCTCATGGGGTTGCCAAGTCTACCATCTTTTATTAAAGAGTAAAAAAAAATATGAACAGATTGTTTTCCCAAGGCATGGGAAAACAGTTTTTCTTTTTCTTTTTTTTGAGAATGTATCACTATGGAAGAGAATGTTTAGGTATTTCATCCTGAGCATCACAAGACTTGCACATGTCCTCTAAAATCAAGTTTCATAGTTTTGTTATAGATAGATAGTTTAACACGAATAACTAAGTTGCAGCCAAAGACTGAATTGAATAATTATTTACGATATAAATATAGTGCAATTAAAACTAGGGCTATTTGCAAAGGGTCTCTATATAATTTAAGTGCTCTGTACAAATTATGGACTCAGTGCTCTACGCCAAAGATGCAATGATCACTGCTCTAAGCTATTCAGTGGCATCATCAATTTGAACAATCACAGTCTCGCCCACCTAATACCCCCATGTCATCAAGGCTTCTATAGCTTGAGAAGCAAAAGAACTTTCAATCTGCCACCATTTTACACCAACTGTTTCAAAATCTCACTCATCCTGGCCATGTGCCATTGAGCATATAAAAATTTGTTTTAACTCTTCATCACCAAAGAAAGACAAGCATCTTATCTCCGCAAACATCATCACCCTTGAATCAAACATTAACCCTTTAACTCCCAGACCAAATTTGCAGTTCTCCTTACTGTCAACCATACAATTCTTATAATGTTAGTTCAGAGAATTGAGAATTGGATCAACTAATTATCCTCAAATTGATATTTCTCTTTATTCTGATTACTTATCTGGTTGATATTGTATTGATATTATAAGGTGAAATTCTGTCTCGGTCACTCAGGGTTAAGGTCACCATAATAAAGTGCATGATCACCAACTAAAGAAGCTCTTGATTGTTAAATA